GGAGTCTCCCCGGGAGCCTGGGCGCTGCGGAGCTGTCACCCGCGTCCTCGCGGCGACATCGCGAGTTCCCCGGGGCTTTATTGCGATAAGAAATATTCTGGCTGCAGCGCTTGCTTCATTTAACCTGCTATGATACAGGATTTCCATAACAGATTAAAACTAATGGTATTCATTTCCAGTAAAACTTAGATTGGAGTTTCCTCACTTTTCATGTAGCTTACCCATCTGTTTGTAAAATGGAACATTAGCTTAAAAAGCAGAATATCTGATGAGAAAACCAACCTTAGAGAAGGCATATGAATAGTAAAGTGAATCAGGATGATTAGCACAGTGGAGCCCTAGTTCATGACCATATGTTTGATGCTGTTTTGATACAGCTGCTACATAAGAGTAGTAATAAGTTTTAGGAATTGCTTCCTTTTGAAAGGAGCAAGTTTGGGTTTTCACTTCTCCCTCTATGCTATTTACTGTCTAAAGAATTATTAAGACTCGTATTTCTTATACTGTATTATAAAAAATCCTAGCAAAGAAACAGCTCTTTTTGTTTACTTTTTTCTGTGGTATGTTCCTAATTGTCTCTTTCTGAGATAATTTAAAATTCTCATTGCAGTGGCAATCTTGGGCCCCTTGATTTCTGCTGGTAATTCTGCTGTTTTGAACAGTGCCAGAAGGGTCTAAATGCCTTTTGTTTATAATTCCTCCTTTCCTCTTTCAGAGTAGGCCCATAACTAATTCAAAATAGCATTTTTTTCTCATAGAGTCAATATACAGACATAAAATGCATCTACATTGAGTGTTTGATTTATAGTTCTTTATAGTGTATTTTAGTTCTGACCGTGTTAACCCATTGCATTTCACCCAGCACTCCTGGTTTAGGTTCGGCAGCCTTCCTGGATCTCAACGTGCAACTCAATTTGGCGCTTAAGAGTGAACCATGTGCCACATCTCAAGAACCTGAGGCCGTTCTCCGTGAAGGGCGTTGAGTAGAGGAGATAGGACAAGGTGGAAACTGGGTCCTGCCCTTCTCATGGGAAACAGAAGGGCTCTGGCAGCTCAACCTAGTGAATAAAAAAAATCATTTGATTGTATTTGGTGCTTAGGATCCTTCTCAGGTTGCGCAGGTGAACTGTCCGCATTGCTCTCCATGAACATTCATATTGCAAACCTTTCTTTTGCATGCCCCTGGTGCAGTTCTCCAGGTAATTCTTGGCTGGATGAGAGACAGGGATGGGGGCCAAGGCTGAGGGGGGTTCTTACTGGCCCCAGTGTGAACTGCACATACTGGATTCTGTTCTCTGGATATCTGATGCTTGTTGTACTGTAATAAAATTATTAAGGCTTTGAAAAGAGTTGCTATACAGTTACTAGTGGTTTCAGATCCCTGTGCATTGATATAAATGATTTATGTTCTTGTGAGACTGATTTCTAGAAATTGTGCTCTTAAATGGGACAAGTTTTTAGCGTAGACTTTAGGGACAAAATCTCTGACTCCTTCCCAACTTATTGTCCTGCAAGCAAAAAGGTTGAGGTTCCACATGATTGAGCTGCTACCTGTATATTTGGAACATGTTGTAGTGTGTATATATATATGTGTGTACAACCTGATGCATCTGAGTTAGTACTGGAGATTAAGCCAGAGGGATTAGAAAGACCTAGGATCTAGGTTTGCTCCTTGCTTCAGGTGCCTAATAGCAGGCTTCTTAAGAAAGCAACCCAAAACCTACTTCATTAGCTTTGCTGCAACTACCTGATATAAAGAAGAGGCCAGTTGCTTAGCTTTTTACATAGGAATGCTCATTTCCAATGAGCAGTGAGTAGTTTCTTCCATATTTTCATGTTCTCTGTGGGCTTGTTTCCCTCTTACAGGAAAATGCTGGAAGAAATAGGATACACTGGCTCCTAAAACCACTTTGATGTAAAGATAAAACTGGTTCTCACCTGCTCCTATTTTCCATCAGGAAGCTGCCTGGAAACTCTCTCGTGTTAAATTCTCTCCATTTCCTTTCTTGTGGAAATATTGAATCACTGGTGCACAGAGCCCCAGTTGTTGAAACACAACTGTGCAATAGCTGTTTGCACGTGTGCAGGATTAAGATGGGGGGCGAGGAGGTAGAAGGGGTATATTTTGCTGCACAAGATGTTGCAATAGGCTGTTTCCGTGCAATACGTTGATCTTATGCATAGTTTTATAGTTCATGAAGCAGATAGCTCAGAGAGAATAATGCAAATGTTAATGCAGACAGTTCACACAGAATCGCAGAATGGTTGAGGTTGGAAGGGACCTCTGGAGATCATCTAGTTCAACCCCCCTGCTCCAGCAGGGACACCTAGAGCACAGTTGGGCTCATTCTTTAAAACCCAGTAGTTAGCACACTGTTAGGCCTGCTGTGCAGCTCACAGTGCCCTCAGTGGAGGGGCTCAGTACTTCAGAACCCCAGTTCAGCGCCAGTTTCCCCGTGTCAGTCGAGCATCAGGCTCCGAGTTCGTGTTTGCGGTGGGCAAGGAGGGTGTTGCTCCCGTGTGTCCTTCACCTGCTGTTGGATCCTTGCGTTGCTGTTCAGCCCAAGTGCCACTGAGGCCGACAGTCACTCAAGCGCCTGCTTCATGAGCAGCTTGTGCTGCATCAAGGACAAGATGCTCCCTGCCTCGCCAGGCCGGGTCCCTGGGAAAGCACACGGGGTGTTCCTCGGTGATGCCGATGCCGGGAGCTGCCTCCAGCAGTGCAGCGAGGACTGCGTACACAGAGCTCCCACTGACGGCGGAGCAGGGGGTCCTGCTCTGGAGAAGCGCTGGAGGTTCAGGCCGCACAGGGTGGATGAACTAAGTCCTGCACCCTGACTTGCCATACGCAGGAGCACTGGGAAGAGTGAACCTTGGTTTGTGGGCAGAAGCTTTCCAAGTACCCGGTTCTTTTCCACCTGCAGGGAAGCGAAGCGCTGAGGTTTTGTGCAGGCAAGAGCAGCTTGGGTTGGCTGTCGCGCAAGGGGAGGGTGGCTGCTGCTGCCTTGCAGAGAACAAGTGCAGATTGTGAAGCCTGTTCTGTTGTTACGTTGTTCCTGAAGTCAAGACCAAGGGCCTTTAAAAGATGTTTTTTGTATCAGTCGGGGAGTTAATCATGGCTATCTGAACAGATGCGATACTGTGCCGCGCTCTTGCTGCTGGGATTGTGCTCTCTTGTCTTGTATACAAAGTACTCGTACAAGCAAAATGGTTTGTTTCAAGGAATGAATTTTAATATAGAAAATCAGACTCCCGTGTTTGTATGTTTTTTTTTGTGTGGGTGTTTTTTTTTATGTAGCTGTAATTTGGATTTGGCCTTTTCTGTGCCTGCACTTCTTATGCAGGCAAAGATCCTTTTGATATTGAAGTTTTGATTTTTTTTTTAACTAAAGAAGGAGAAAAAAAAGTAAAATCTCTTTATAAAATGCTAGAAGTGTTGTTTTCATTTAACTTAAGCTTTTGCGTGTGTTCTCAATTAAGTGTCTTCCTGCTGTTGCAATGTCTTTCACTTTATTATTTTTTCCTCTATATTTCTTTGTATGTCACTCAGACATGTTTTTTGGGTGTCATTAATGTAAGTTTTGAAAGTAAGCCAACATTAGCACTTAGCCTCCAGAAGAAGCATGTTTATTTAAGGTAGTATTTTCTATTTACAGACTTTTAAAGTGTTTCATTAGACATCCTTCTGAGCATCTATAATCAGACTTGTTAACAATCTGCTAACAATGTATTTAGATCTGGCCTGAAAGAAAGGGGGGAAAAGTATTTTGTTTAGGGTGTCCATCTGCTTATTGCATTTCAGCACTGCACAGGAAAAGCCATTTCCTGCCTCAGAATACTTTGTTTCCTTTGTCTCTACAATGAGAGAGAGAGAGAGAGAGAAAATATTAATGTGCTTTCTGGCCAGTGAAAACCTTGTGTTCTTCTAATTAAAGAACTGTAATAAGCGAACCTTATTAATACATTGCTGATGGAGACAGGCATTTTAATACCTTTTTATTGCAGAAAAAGTTATTCAGGCCATGAAAGGCCTGACCTCTGTATTATTATTGTGTCTTTATCTTTCACTCTCTGATTTTTATTCTTAAAAAATAATTTTATTTGGAGAGTTGGCTTAATAAAGCTTTTTTTTTTTTTGAAAGACAACGAGCTTTCTGGAGGTGCTTGCATGCTGCCCTTAAAGAATGTGGTTTTCTGGGTGGTTTAGCAGATAGCTCAACAGAATCAGGAAATCTTCCAGACTGTTCACATTTGTTGTTTGATATCTGAGAGTATTTGGGGGATTTTGTTGTTGTTGCTGGCAATTCCGGGCAGCTACTTTGTTGCGGCTTGGAAGGTGGGAGCCGGATGGATTGAGCTTTCATTTTGCAGATGGGGCTTGCTGTGAATTTTGTTGCACTTAAAGCTGACTAGAAGTGCAGCTGAGTCATGGGTCATTCGGAATGCAGCTCTCGGGGACACCAGCCTTCCTGTCCTGACTTCTGGTTTAAACATACCACGTCGTAGCTTACAAGAGTCCCCTCTTTGGAAGAGGAGTTCCAGGTGTGGGACTGCATAGTTGCAGGCATGTGCATCCTATGAAAATGAAGCCTAGCATTAATTTATATATGTTATGTAAGCTTTTCTAAAATAAGAGTTTGCAATTGCTAGTAAATGCATGAATAATCACAACACTTCTAAAACATTTGGGGAATGACACATGGGGTGGTCTTTCTGTTGGTTAAATATTTGCCAAGATTTGCCTTTTTGTTGAGCGTCTGATATTTCCATTTTAAAGAAAAGTGCCTCTAAACAGGTATGCTCCAAACTGCAAAATACATAATTTGTATTGTAATAGTTAACGGGCTTACTGTAGCCTGTTGGAGTTAGTGTTTTAGTAATTACATTGTGGGGTGATGGAGGGGATGGCACAAGATTTAAGAATGCTGTGTATTATGCTCTGACTAAAAATAACTGTATTTATGCTTATGAAAATTCTTATTTTTCTTTCATGTAGCCGTGACATGGAAAATAAAGAAACCCTCAGGGGGTTGCAGAAAATGGACGACCGCCCAGAAGAGCGCATGATCAGGGAGAAACTCAAGGCAACGTGTATGCCAGCCTGGAAGCACGAATGGCTGGAAAGAAGAAGCAGGAGAGGCCCTGTGGTGAGTGGCCTTCGAGGAAAGGCAGTGCCTGTAACTGTTACAAATGGAAGTCCCTGAAAGTTGCAGGCATTCTTTTAGGAACTTTATCTAAGCAGCTCATAGAGTTTTGGTTTTGATCCTTTTGTTCATTTTAATGAGCTGTTTAACAGGAAATTGTGGGCAACTTTCTGAAACGTACATGTGTATTAAATTTTTCTGAGGCAAGGGGGGAGCCAGAAGCTGAGCTTGATATTGAACACAGCTGGATCAACACTGCCCTCTAATGTCAGCAACTACAGGAACTATTATGGTTTTTATCTAATGAAGAACTTGCAGTGAGCACAAGACTGCTCTGGGCTGGTTCTACTGCTGTGTTTTTAAGGGTGTCATCGTTTTATATATTGCAGGCACAAAGCCCAGTAGCTTAAAGTGCGTCAGACAAAATAGTTTAGCTTTTAATTAATTAATTTACTGCATAACTTGAAACTGTTGTTCCCCTGATCCATTTTCCTTGATGTTTTTGGGGATTTTAGTGTAACTTTCTGTGCTCCAGATTCTCAATTATTACTACTTTAACCTACATGCCTTTTCAAGTGCTAGCAGTAGATAACAGTAACCTGTTCAGAGGTGTGTGCGTCTACCTTCTGACCTCTTGGGAAAGCAAGCAAGCTTTGCATTAATTGGTAGCGTTCGCACGGCATTCAGTATGGTGACTTCCCAATGTAAAATAAACAGAGCTTGGATTAAGCATATAGATCTCAGCCTTTCCTTTCTCAGGCAGTGTTCTTGCTCATAAGGAACAAACACCTCATTCTCCTGCATAGCCTGCTTCAGCTGGAATGCTTTTGTTAGTAAAGGAATAGCTTTAGTAGGATGTTTTAAATGCTTTGGTTCCAAAATAGTATTTAGTCTTGTGGCTAAAGTGCGGATCATGAGGCAGAACAGGAATTGAGCCTGCATGTCTCCCCGTTCTTCAACCCTGAGCTGTCACACGGACATTTTGCTAAATGGCATTAGCAGGGAGGGTCCCTTCCATTTATTGCCTAATTTAGAAGGGTTTCTGCAGCCTTCTAGGAGAGGGTCTGTGGCTGCATTGCTTGAGGCTTTCCCCTAGCTTTGAGTCAAGCCTCTAAATCATGATGAAATTCCCGTACAGTTACCCCCTGCCAGGTATTAATACTAAAACCCAAGGAGTTTGCATACTCCATATGTGTAGGTAATGAATTAATTATATAATGATATTAACCCAAGTTCTGATTAATTTGTTTTGTTTTCATGTAAAATGATTATTTTTGAAACTAACACACATGGTTGAATTCCTGCAAGGTGGTGAAACCCATCCCTGTGAAGGCAGATGGATCGGAACTGAGCAAGCTGCCCCTGGAGCCTCAGGCTGAAGGGCAGAGCGCGGCTTCCTCCCCCACGCAGAAGGGGAGGCGCAGCCCTTCCCCCAGCAGCTCCTCTTCATCATCCTCCAGGACTGTTAAATCCGAATCGCCAGGAGTCAGAAGAAAAAGGGTATCTCCAGTGCCTGTAAGTCACAAACTGTGGTGCCATTATTAATTTTGTTACTAGATACTCAGTTTTGCAGATAGCTGTGTTCTGTTAGCTTGATTACATAAAGAGATGCTAGGATTTTTTTTCTTTTTTTTTTTTCCCTCTTAAAGTCTTGAATATTAATTCTCCTGGCAGATGTGTTCCCTGGGGGGACAGGCTGAACTAAGATCCCTGCAGAAGGGAGTTAGTAGGATGCTATTTTTGATTCTCTGCTCCAGGGCTGCTCTTTACGTGCGTGTTAGGGAAGTTATAGGTGTATACATCATTATGGTGCTTTCTAAAATCGTATACCATTGTGTTCAAGAAGATCAAGACTGGGATATTTTTAACTGTAGTAAATGACTTTGCTAGAGAAGATCGAGAATGGAAGAGTTGAGCAGTAGATTATGAAAACATTCATCCACAGTTATTCTTCAGGTGACTCATTTACTGCAATTTCACTGTGAAGCTGTAGGGATAGGATCTAACAGCTTTTAGGATCCAATTGCTTTTATTGTCCCGTTGCTCCCACTGCACTCTGTTTCCAAATGAAGTAAAACATTTTGCTGCTGTTCTGCAGAGCTGAGGCGAAACAGAAGTTACAGTTCGTAGCACAGCTGCACACCTCTTGATAAGAGAAGTTCAAATTTAAAAAGAAAACATTACCACACCATGTAACTTTGACTTTGCTCAGTTGATGTTCTCTTTCTTTTTGTTTTATATTAACTGTTCATGTGAAAAAGTAAAGTCTGTCATGTAATTAAGTGATGGACAATGAGTCAAGTGCAAATTTGTCATGATTTAAAAATCAAAGTGGATGTCAATCAAAGCAGAAAATCTGAAATCAGGCAGAATCATTAACTCATGCAAGAACTTGCATGAGGCATTGAAGAAAACTTTTATTAAATGGTTGTTTCATTTGGTGGCGGCAATTTATTTACCATAATCAAAAATGGTGCCCTAAGCTGAAGGTTGTTTTTCTTGTGAGAAGAGCATATACCTTTTTTCCTTCTCTTTGGAATTTCTTACTCTGCTGTTCTTTGACCATATGCTCCCTGTTATAAACCCTAGTCATTAGGGTATAATGTTAATATATTTCACAGATATAGAAATCCCATCTTGTATAATAACTTCCTGTGTTGCTAGTCACTATGATGACCTTCTGGTTGAATTGTACTTGTTAATTCAGTAAAACAGTAAGGCTGCCAATGAAGACTTGTAAATAGAAGTGATTTAAGAGACTCCTTTTCTGTCATAATGTCAACCAGCTTATTTAAAAAAAAAAAAATCTTTTTTCTGTCCACTGCTTTTGGAAGCAGTCCACTGCTTTTGTCCACTGCTTTTGCATATGAAAGAAGGTTAATTCTTTTAAATTTGTACAGTCTAAGCAAGTTCTAGCTCCTTCAGGTTTCGGGAACCATCTCTCTCTTTGTCAGTAAGAGTGAAATAGCCAGATTCACTGCCCTGGAAATGTTTGATGGAGCCACTCTTGTAGTTTCAGAGCGGCCGAATAACTCCACCACGAAGAGCTCCCTCTCCAGATGGCTTCTCTCCGTATAGCCCTGAGGAAACAAATCGCCGGGTCAACAAAGTTATGAGAGCCAGGCTGTACCTGCTGCAGCAGATAGGCCCCAACTCCTTCCTGATCGGCGGGGACAGCCCTGACAACAAGTACAGGGTGTTTATTGGGCCACAGGTGAGAACGTTTTTGTCATTGGCAGCTCTCACTAATTCATAGCTAGTTTTGAAAAGCTGTAGAAAACCAGACTAGATGAAGTGAGAGTCACAAACCTCTGATAACTGGAAACATGTAAAAGATGCAATGCATGCATATGCGGTGGGGAATTGTTACTGAAATTTAGCTTATTCTGTGTACTTTTCATTCCTGTCAATGGATCCTAATTGTGTTTAATATATAATTAGAAATATGTATGTAATAAAGTATTTTGCGTGAAATTTGACCCTTTGATTTTTTCTGCTTTCTCACTCTAAGATGTGAAAATCTATTTCCTGTATTCATGGAATATATAGATATGTGCAACAAACACATCACTTCTTAGAGGTGTGATAATGTCATTGGTACCCCTAATGTGGTCCAGTCGGAGATTTCCAGTAGTGCTGTGATACTGCCTTTGGGAACACCTAAGTTTTTGCATGAATAGAAGCAACTCATTTAAATTTAATTGCCATCATGTTACAGATATCTGATTACATTCATAAATTCTTTTCAGTGTTAATAACAGTAGTAGCTTCTAGTTGACTGTCGTCAGCTTCTTGTATATATTTCACAATGATGTTTTGAGAATTAACACTTTCACCTAAGGTATCTGTGCCTAAAATATTATTTCACACTAACTGCATGTTCTTTTCTGTAGCAATTGGCATCGTGCACCTTTCTGTTATGCACTTAACTGTGAGTACCAAGGCCACACGACCCTAACGCACGAACATACGATGCTTTTCATTGCAGACATGTAGCTGTGGGCGTGGAACATTTTGCATCCATCTGCTCTTCGTTATGCTGCGAGTGTTCCAGCTGGAGCCCTCGGACCCAATGCTGTGGAGAAAGACTCTGAAGAACTTTGAGGTAATATATGTCTAATAGACCTCATAACAGATCTAAAATAAAATCTGGGTGAAAATCTTTAGGTTGTTATTTTAAGATGGAACACTTTGTTGCTTATCATAGCAACATGCATATAAGCTTTTAATTATTTTGTTAATTCACTTTAAAGAGCTCTGTAGATGGAAAAGATCTGCAAATAAAAGAATAACTAAATGAATTATAGAGTTTTAGTTTAGTCAATAATATGGGTCTTGTGGGTTTTTTGTCTCAGATTAGCATATCTGTAACATTGATAATTGAAAGGAAAACAGAATAAGTGTGTTCATAAATATTAGCGTATATGTAAAGCTATTAGTAATTTTTAATAAACAGCTTTTTTGTTTTAAACAACGTTGCTTGCAGTCTGTTTAGTAGTGAGGTTTCGGAAATTCCTGCTCCTGTTGTTGCAGCTAATGTATTATTGTGGAGATGAAATTTGGTTTTTAAGCAGTAATTTAAGCTTCTGTATCATTACCTTTAAGTTATTCATAGCATAAATCCGACTGTTGCTGTCTTTTTCTGATGTCAGGTTGAGAGTTTGTTCCAGAAATATCACAGTAGGCGTAGCTCGAGGATCAAAGCTCCATCTCGTAACACCATCCAGAAGTTTGTCTCACGCATGTCAAACTCTCATACATTGTCATCATCTAGTACTTCCACATCTAGTTCAGAAAACAGGTTAGTATTTTTCAAAGGAATTAATAATATTCTGTATTGTTTTCTCTGATTTTGGAGGTTTAGAATCACCTACGCGATTCTTTTTTTTCTTTTTCAAAGCTACTTTCATTTCAACTCATGTTAAATCCTCTGTATTTACCAACAGTCAGAAGCCAAGTATATTTAATCATCCTGATACCAAGTGAGCATATTTAATTTAGACCTTATGTCTGAAGAGAAGGAGAGAAGAAAAAAAAATTAAGGAGAGCTGGGAAAAGAAATTTTTGGATGTATTATGGAATGGGGAAACTTCAGAAATCTGAATGATCCTCTTCAGGCATGGAACATTGGTTAACTTTGGAAACCCATGTGTTTCTCTGCATTTATTCAAATACAGAGTGCATACAAATGTTAACAATGGAGAGTTTTTTCTCTTGTTCTAATAACATTTGAAGACAAGCTCTGCTATTGAGAAGTATTTATGTGCCTGTAACAATGTATTTAAAAATTTCCAGGTAAACATACTTTTTAAAACCACGGAGTATTTGCTGTCCATGTAGAATGGATGATTAAACCATTTTAAGGAAGATATTACATTATGATGATTTTTATAACATATTAAAAAACGCCTTATTTTTCACTTTTAACTGATGTTTGGTTCTTTGGGTGTTTTCTAACTCTTACAACAACTTGAGTGCTTTTGTTTGCGTTCTTTTTCCTGATTTTTGCAAAGATTCGATTTAGTGTTTTGTCTGTTAATTTGTTACTGGGATGAGTGGACTAGGCATGCAGAGGCCTTCTGAGAGAAGACAACCAAAACAGAGGCTTTCTTTAATGAAAGTAAGAAGCAGCTTAGAGTGTGTTACTTTTACAGTAGTCATGTCACTGGATCAGTTGCATAGAGCAGTGTGTTTAGACAGGTTTGTAGTTCTGATGTTCAGATTGTGACTTCAACTTCACACTGTCTTGTACCTATTTTTCCAAATGTCAAATCATGTCACTGTAAATAAATTATATAAACCAACTGGTGACATACAAGATGTATTCTGAAATACCGGTTCCTTCTATTTAGATCTCTTGTTCAGGAAGAAATTTTTTTTTGCATGGAAGTAACTTAGTGGGATTAAGGATTTCACTGCATCAATTCTATTTTTTTGTAGGAATAAAGGCTTTTAAGTTGTTTGCTAGTAGAGCTGTTGATTAGCTCACAGCATTGTTGATTCAATGAGATAGACTGACACAGTACAGCAATCCAATTCTGTAAAAGTTATTGAGAACATAAGTATTATTTTCACTTGGGATAAGCCTAGTTAATTCTGTTAATTACTGTGACGTGCAGTTTTTTGATTTGCTGCTAGTTCTTCAAAAAATAAAAATTGAAAATGTGTTTTTATGCTGTGGAACGGAGTTTTTCATTGTAAACTTATTGTGGATTTTTCAAGGGGAAAAAAATGCCAACCATTTAAAATGCAAGGAAGCACATTGTGTGTGTGTGTGTGTGTGTACACGTGCACATATATCAATGTATATGTATGCATATGTATAGCGCACATGCTCATTTCTACATAAATATACTATTATTTTTTAAATTACTATTTTGAACATTTCTAAATCAATATACGGCTCTTGCAAGCTATATATATAACAAGCTATTTTAGACACATACTAATTCCAACTTTTTGTGAGTAATACTAAGACATTCTTATATAAATAGAGTGCAAAAGGCTAAGTTTCTTTCTTTCACTTAACCTCTAAGCTTTTGAATATTTTTAATTAAATCTCTGATTATATCTATTTTTAATTATTTAGTGGGGATAAATAAAATGGAAACAACATCTAAGGCTGAGTTGAATGTTTTAATGTACATGGGATGCCTTTTTTGTGTAAATGAGGGTGGCTGTAATTTTTTATTAAAATCTTTAATTTTTTTATTAAAGTTTTTAATTTCAGACCCTCATCAAATAAAACTAGTGTTCTGTGGTGAGCTTAAGACTAATCTGTGAGCCAGTACCCTGAAAGATGTTTTTTCATTGCTCTCCTTTAAAATCTAAACTACTTAACTTTTCAAAACCAACTTATTAGTAAAAAAGTAAAGGTTATTTTGTTTAAAAAAGTCTTCAGGAGGAAAATGCAAGGAAAATGCCCAAGGCTAGGCCTTTCAATCCCTAAATGGTATCTGACCTGGTTTGAGGACATGTTGTGTGTTTTATGACCTTCCTTTTCATTTCAACAGTGTATTGTCTGTACTTGCTCCTGCTGCTTCAATTTTGGTTTCTCACTCAGAGATCTGGTGATTCAAATTGGAGGCTGATCTTTTTTTTTTTTTTTTTTTAAAGCTTGTTCAGAATTCTGATACACCGTTTTTACAACTGCAAATATCTGTTTTTTGTAGTATGAAGGATGAAGAAGAACAGATGTGCCCCATTTGTTTGTTAGGGATGCTAGATGAAGAGAGCCTGACTGTATGTGAAGATGGCTGCAGGAATAAGTTACACCACCATTGCATGTCAATATGTATGTTGTCATCTTTGTCTCAATTCTGGTAACTGTATGTGCTAAAACCACTAAGATTCAATACTTTAAGAACTATGTCCTCCACTTAAGATTTAACTTTGACATTGTTTAGGTGTTGATGGTTCTTAGTTTATCAGTTGTTTGCAAATCAAGTTTGTCCTATGATGCTCTGTGGGGAAAAGAAGTTAACTGCAGGGCTAGAGGTTTGATCCTGTGCCCCTTGAGAGAGAAGAGTAAGTCCAACTGGAGCAAGATTCGCAGCAGACATTTACCCCTCTTTCACTTCTTGCTAAATGACTTGAAAGGCATCCACTGTTAGCATGGGTTATCTAAGTAACTATGGAATATGCCTGTGTACTACCTTACATAAGTAGTGACACAGTTTGCTTTAACAAATAGAACTCCATCCTCCGTATTCTAATTCCTTTGGGAAAAAAAGAAAAATCTGTTTATCTTTGAGGTATAAAAAGACCTATGTTGTTCCAGTTAATGATTTTAACATTATAGTGCTAAAATTGAGAGGCTTCTGCCTTCAAAAAAAAAAAAAAAATGCTGCAGATAGCTCAACTTAGATGAGTGCTTTTCCTGAAATTGGTATTTTTCAATGAAATTCAAAAATAGTAACCCCATCTTCTGGCTTGATAGGCTGTAAACATAAATACTATTTTTCTTGTTGTTGTATTTCAGGGGCAGAAGAATGTAGAAGAAACAGAGAGCCACTTATATGTCCTCTTTGTAGATCTAAATGGAGATCACATGATTTCTATAGGTAAGCACTTGATTTTACTGTGTGTAGTGAGTTGTTTGTTTCTGAATGTTTAGCTCACATTCCTAAACACTCTGAAGTATTTACTTCAGCATGTTTATCATGTTATCTTGTTAATTCATGTTGTTTGTTGTTAACTTTATAGTCATGAATTGCCAAGTCCTGTGGATTCTTCTGTTCTTCGTGTGGTTCAGCAACAAACTCAACAACAATCTCTAGTTGGATCACAAAGAAGAACCCAAGATAGTAATTTTAACCTTACTCATTATGGGGTGCAGCAGATCCCTTCTGCATATAAAGACTTAGCTGAGCCATGGATTCAGGTAATTTTACCTTGCCAAAGGAATTTAAAGTGTAGAAGTTAATTTTGAACTGTTTTATCTGTTTTTTTTTTCACTCTTGATGAATTATAAATCAATCCCTGCAGCTCCTAATTGAAAACTACATGTATCTTCAGGAGAAGCTGTAATTATTGTGCCTAATGGCCTGCAGTGAAACACACTGAAAATCATTATGCCTTCCTGTCATTGCTTTTGGCCATTAGAGGAGCTTTCTTCTGGAAAAGTTTGGAATAAGAATTCTGTTTTGTTTAACCTCTCCAATTTTGCTTCACTTAAAAACAAGTAGGAAAAAAAAATGCAAACTATCCCCAGGAGCTTGCGTGTCTTTTGATATCTATAGAGAAAAGAATGAGTTTCTTAATGTTACTAATTCTGTCTGGAGAGGGTTATGTATCTGTTCTCCAATTCCAGTTGGTGAAACAAAAAAAAAATATTAGAACAGTATGATCTTTTGTATTTGTTCAGAGATGAGAAACAAAATGAAAAAATGGACAGCTCGAGGTAGAACTGGGAGAGATTTCGAACGTGTGAATGTTTGACTCTGGCACCAGTTCAGAGTACTTGTACCAATTGGAAAACTTGCTCTAAATCACATCACAGCTGCACACCTAATAAGTGCCTGTGCAGTCCTCCTTCCCCAAAGTGTGTTTAGCAGAGTATTTGGAGGACTGATGAACGCTCGTATAGGATGTTTCATTTCCATCCAAGATAGTTTTAAAACACAGCACATCCACTGTCATGCTTTTGCTGTCAGACTCCATAAGACTTCTCTTTATCCTCACCTGAAGCATTTCTTTGTTGTTTTTGACTGTTCATTTCAACTACTTGAGTCGCAGTGCTGTTTGGTTTGACTCCTGCTGTGTTACCTTTCCTCTTTGCAGATATTTGGAATGGAGTTGGTTGGCTGCTTGTTTTCTCGAAACTGGAACATACGAGAGATGGCACTGAGGCGTCTTTCGCATGATGTTAGTGGTGCTCTATTACTGGCTAATGGTGAAAGCACTGGAAATTCTGGAAGCAGCAGTGGGAACAACACAAGTGCTGGAGCTCTAGGAGCAGCTAGTGGGTCATCTCAGACCAGTATCTCAGGAGATGTGGTAGTGGAGTCCTGCTGCAGTGTGCTGTCCATGGTCTGTGCCGACCCTGTCTACAAAGTGTATGTTGCTGCTTTAGTAAGTAGTTGCTTATTCATTGTATTCTAGTAATTGCCGAATGACTTGGGTTTGGGAAAGAAAGGAGGAGACATACAAAGAAAAGAATCCTCGCACTTGTTTTTCGCTGCTGCTGAATGATTCTTGACTTGTAACCATCATCTGAAAAAGATGAATAAAATCCTCAGGAAAAGTAGATTGGCATGACTGTGAACTTGCATTTCAAATGCTTTAAAAAAATGCTGACATAGCTAATTTAATACGTACTCTTTTTCTCCTTTCTCTTAGAAAACCTTAAGAGCCATGCTGGTGTATACTCCTTGTCATACGTTGGCAGAGAGAACTAAACTACAGCGACTTCTCAAGCCAGTTGTAGAGACAATATTAGTTAAATGTGCTGATGCCAACAGGTAAGGTGACTCATTAACTTCAAACCCGTTTTAGGTTGTTGTTGAAGCATCTTGAAACTTCCTTTGCCACTATTTTGTATGGAGCTGGTAAACCAAATAGTGGTGATAAAATGTATAGGTCATGGCTATAAATAAATCAAGATAGGTTTTGACTAAAGCCTAGCTGCTACCAACCAGCTTTTGACTCGAGGTCTAATTTCTCTTGTTTTGAAGGAATCTGATTCTCCTTATTTCCGGTACTTGTGGATCTTAAATGATGTCCTCCTTTCAAAGACCTTTTTCCCCATTTAAAAAATGGGAGCGGGAGGGAACCCTAAGTGCTGAAGTGATTTAGCTGGATTTTGTCTCTTTCAGCCTATTTCCTAAGCAGCTTTGGTTAGAATTACTGATTTTGAAACTACAGCCAGGCATGCATCTTTTCCCTATCCAGTGACAGAATAACTAAATTGAAAGGAATAAGTGAGTTAAGATATCTAAGTGATGTGGAATTCCAGGAGTTGAGCTTCTTTTTGCGAGAGGATGAGGTCCTAACAAGTAATTAATTAATTAAGTAATTAATGCTGTTAATAGATTATTCCCTGGAAGTCTCAAAGAATTTGGCAAGTGTGGATGTGGTGAAAGAAGCATAAAAAGTGGATTTCTGTTTTATTTTTAATTTATTTTCTTATTTATGATACACTTAAAGCTTCTGGAGAAGTGTCCTGTAAAAAATATCATAAAGATCAGTAGCTTATAGGATTATATAAGTGTTTTGGTAAGGTGATGTGAAATCAATTTCCAAGCAGAGTTCCAAGCTATTGCTAATGATTATTAAGTGTAATGAGTAGAATGTTTTTCTTCAGAAGCACCTGCTAAGAGTTACTGTTGATTTTGATTTCTTATAGTCGAACAAGTCAACTTTCCGTCTCAACGCTACTGGAGATGTGTAAAGGCCAAGCTGGGGAGCTGGCAGTTGGGAGAGAAATACTTAAATCTGGTAATCATAACTCTTAATGTGTGTATTATATATATATATATATATATATATAAAAAACACTATATATGTACAAACAAATATAATGAAGTGTCTAAAATTTAATACAGACCTAGCTTATCAGAAATCAAAATGGCTTAAAGAACAGTGTCCTTTGGAGTTTGGTGGGAGGTGAGTGCGTGCGAGAGGAGAGTTAATTTGGGCACACCTGTATTTCTATATGATACAGTTCTGATCTTGGTTGAATTTAGATTGAATAAAGTTTAAATGTATTTATAATAACTCCCTGTTTTGTTTTAATAGGGTCCATCGGTATTGGTGGTGTTGATTATGTCCTGAACTGTATTCTTGGTACCCAGATTGAATCTAGCAACTGGCAGGCGCTCCTGGGGAGACTCTGTCTGATAGACAGACTGCTGTTGGAATTCCCTGGTGAATTTTATCCCCACATTGTCTGTGGGGATGTTTTACAGGCTGATACTGTAGTAGACAGGTACTTGCTTACATTCGTTTATCTTTGTAGTTGAAAGCTTCTGGTGATTTCTTGGCAACAGTTGTTTTGGCCATTTTAACTAACTTGAAACAAGTAGTTATATTCTCTTTATGCAAAAATGGGCCTACTTCTCAGAGTAAACAGGTACTCCTTTTATTTATTTATTTATTTATTTTATCTGACCTGTTTATTCTGAAACACCAGCTCACCAGTAATTCTCCTTGTTGCAGAACTGAAGTGAGGAACACTTTCTTGAGAGAGCTTTTTTTAGCACTGATTAATTGGAGCTTATCATGTGTCTAAGACATTTTTTTTTTTCTTTTTAACTTGCAGGTATAAGAAGCTTCTCTCTCTCTTGAATTTTGCCTTGCAGTCGATTGACAATTCACACTCGATGGTTGGTAAACTGTCCCGGAGAGTATTTTTGAGCGCAGCAAGGATGGTTGCGAGAGTGCCCCACGTTTTTGTAAAACTTTTAGAAATGCTGAATGTGACAAGCTCTACTCACTATGCAAGGATGCGTCGACGTCTGATGGCAATAGCAGATGAAATGGAAATTGCAGAAGCCATCCAGCTAGGCATGGAAGAAATGCATTCTGGACAGGGTCGACACGATGACTTTCTGCAGCTGCCTGTACCAGATAACTCTCCAGAAGCTACAGAGAACAATACTCCTAACAATACTGTCCAATTGTCAGGGAAAAGTGGGAAAGGTTTAGGGGATAAAAATTTATGTGCCAGTCCAGAGGACGTTTCTGAGACACTGGCTGGCCTTGCTGTGGGACTTCCCATTTCATCAGTAACCAGTGAGCAACCAAAGCCAGCCATTCAAACAAAAGGCAAGCCCCACAGCCAGTGTTTGAACTCTTCTCCCTCATCCAGTCATTCCCAGTCACTCTTCCCAATGCTTCAGTCTCCTTCAAACCCATCTGTACCAGCTGGCACTGTAACAGATGTCTCCAAACTCAGACCTCAGGGATTCGTTCCCTGCAAAATCCCTTCAGCTTCTCCTCAAACGCAGCGGAAACTCTCTCTCCAATTTCAAAGAAACTGTTCTGAAAATAAAGAAACAGAGAAACTTTCTCCAGTTTTTACCCAGGCCAGGCCGTTGCCATCCAGTCATATACACAGGCCAAAGCCATCCCGACCCACCCTGGGTGATGTGAACAAGCAGGGAGAAACCTCAAAAACCAGCCTGACGCTGGACCTGAACGATATTCCCCAGTGTGATGGCAGCGGTGGCAGCAGCAGCAGCGCGGTTATACCGAGTGAGGAGACAGTCTTCACACCGGTGGATGAGAAGTGTCGGCTGGATGTTAATGCTGAGCTCAATTCCAGTATTGAGGATCTCCTTGAGGCCTCCATGCCAACAAGTGATGGCACAGTTACGTTTAAGTCCGAAGTGGCAGTGCTTTCTCCTGAGCGGGCAGAAAATGATGATACATACAAAGATGATGTGAGTCATAATCAAAAATGCAAGGAAAAGATGGAAGCTGAAGAGGAGGAAGCCTTGGCCATTGCTATGGCAATGTCTGCATCTCAAGATGCCCTACCAATAGTACCCCAGCTGCAGGTTGAAAATGGTGAAGATATCATAATTATTCAGCAAGATGTAAGTAAATTAGAAATTTAACATGGAGACTTTGACTTTAAGTTTGAATTGTGGTTCACTAAATTTAAAAATTTGCTGTTGTAGTCATAATGTTAAACATGGAGACTCAGTGCCTTCTCCTAAAAGTTGGAATGTACATATGAAGAGAAATAGTTTAGTATAAAGAGCCTGATAGTGCACAGTACTAAGAGAATCAATCTATGACTGTTGCTAAAATTCTAGAGGTATTTGGGAGAGTGGCATCTTATCCTGTACCGATCTTGAAGATGTCAAAGTAAACAAGCAAAAATAGAGACAGGATACAAAAATAAATGCTGAAAGCAATGGAGGAGTTCTAAGCAGGGAAACTCAGAAAATGAGCAATGTTTTTAAAAATTATTGGGTTGTAATGTTGATTTACTTTTGAAGGCAATCATGTAAAACCAAATTATGTCATAAAGAGTAAGTAGACAGTGTAGGAGGAGATTACTTTGCCAACACATCTTGAGAGAGAGCCTTTGAGATACTATGGAAATTGGAAGAAAGATCTGTTTGCTAGTAAATAGACAAAAGTAAAAGTGATAAGAAAAGAGAAAGGAAAGTATGTGAGTGGGTGGGTGGTGTGGGGTTTTCTTGGTGGTTTTTACAGGATGATTGATTTAACTATTTAGAGCAGTGGAGGGAAGAAAGGAGTGAGTAAGTTAAAGGAGGCTCTCCTTTAAGCAAAGTGAGAGTATGTGGGTCATAGAAAACTGATGTGGTCTTCTCAAGTGAGATGTGTATGATGTGCAGCACGAATCTCCATAATGGGGAGGAGAAGCTTACTGGCTGGAATCTTTCCTTCTAGAATGTCTAAACTTTAGATGCATGCTGGTAAACAGGGAATTGATTTGAATTTAATTTCCAGACACCAGAAACCCTGCCTGGACATACCAAAGCAAAGCACCATTACAGAGAAGATGCTGAATGGCTTAAAGGGCAGCAAATAGGCCTTGGAGCTTTTTCTTCCTGTTACCAAGCTCAAGATGTAGGAACAGGGACATTAATGGCTGTAAAACAGGTAAATACTTTACTTTCTTGAATGTTTTTCTTGTTCCTATATATTTATTTGGAATATTAGCTATAAAAGCTGTCTGGTTTCATGGATTGTACTCTACTTGCTCTGCTTCCTGTTGCATGTGTACTTGCCTAATACAAATTATATGCACAATATTAATATTTTTACCTTTCATTTCCCTTTAAAATGAAAAAAGGGTGTGTCTTTTATATAGCACTTTCATATATTTTTCAAATACTTTTTTTGCTTTTGTCAACATCACAAATCTGTGACAGAGTTTAGAATGAAAACCAAAATCTCTTTATTCCAAGCTATGCCCTGTTTGCTATTAGTTTCCCATTGTTTACTTGTGCAGATTTTATCTTAAACTGTATTTTCCATTAAAAAAAAAAAAAATTGCTTGCTTCCTCTGATCTTACACACAGTTTTGAAAAGCAAGTATTTTTAGTTTTTAACTGCTTAGATATGAAAATGTGCCTGGGGAAAAAAGCTCCAAATACCCACGTTCCCTTCCCCAGAAGAGACTCTTACATTTTTATGACCATCTTGCATGGAGATACATTCTCCACTGAAGGGCCTCGAGAGTAAAAACATTTGCACATTCCTGATGTTTAGCCTGGGGAGAACATCTGATACTGCAGTAGGAAAGCAGGGGTTGGTTATAGTACTTGGTTTGCCAGTTATGAAAGGTAAATCTAGACACGGTATTTTTGAAACAGGTGACGTACGTCCGGAACACATCATCTGAGCAAGAAGAGGTGGTTGAAGCACTGAGAGAAGAGATAAGGATGATGAGTCATCTAAACCATCCCAACATTATTCGAATGTTGGGTGCTACGTGTGAGAAGAGCAACTATAATCTCTTTATTGAATGGATGGCAGGTAAAGAGCACCAAGTGCTAAAGAAAAGGAAAGCACAAGTTGAATCTCGAGTTGTGTAGTTTCACACTGCAATTTTGCACACTGCAAAATATTCCATGTATCACTTCCATTCAGAAATTTATTAGCATCTTCATTGCCACTGTTAATGAGCTTAGATGTCTAGTTTACAGAACATTTATTGTTTTTTTAAGTGGTAAGAAGTTATTCTTTCCTTTTTATTTTTTTCTTCCTTTTTTTTAAGTCTGGATTTTTCCATACTTAGTCTGTCATACATCTAATATAATTAGCAACCTGGAGCAAAAATTCTGCTAGTTACCCCCGTTTCTGAATCTGAGTAAGGAGGGAGCCTTCAATCTGATAAATTTTTAAGCTTTATCATTTTCATTATAGCTGCCTGATCTCAAAGGATTATTCAAAGTACTTTTGCTTGAAAGTTTAGAATGCCTGTCACTTTTTTTTATCATTATTCCCAAACATGATAAGAGTTCTGTAAGAGAACATGTAAAGATATTTGAGAACTTAATGAGCCTTCTATAGTAATCTTAAAGAATTCAAGTCTTACCTTAAATCTGTTAAGTGGTAATTCAGCAGTAGTGAGATCTTCTAATTCTATAGAGCTAGGGACAAGAAAGTTCATATACACATATATGCAAAAGCTAATTTTTTTACTACTTGAAAAACTTAATGTGAGATCTGGATAAATGTTTCGATTTTGTAATAATCAACAACATGTTTTCACACTGTGCACCTGGTATTTTTGTGTATTTAAATGTGCACATGCAGATATACAGTGTATAGATATATTTTTTTGTTTTAGGAAAGATGAAATCAGGAAGCACAAAGCAATGTGCTTTTAAAACTTATACTCTTCTCTATAGAAAGGAGCTAAGTAATTGAGTGTTTTGCTCTTTGCCTTTGGAACTCTTTGACATATTTGTAGCAGTGAGTAGGAGGACTAGTTGTCAATTGGAAATAATATAGGGCTCCAGTTTTAGGAGGCAGTGCTGCATTCTAATCATCTCCAGTATAAATGTTGATTAAATTGTATCACTTTTATTTTCTAGGAGGCTCAGTTGCTCATTTGTTAAGTAAATATGGAGCCTTCAAGGAATCAGTAATTATTAATTACACAGAACAACTGTTACGTGGCCTTTCTTATCTCCATGAGAATCAGATAATCCATAGAGATGTTAAAGGTAAAAATTATCTCTAATGTCAAGTAGCATTCAGAAATCAGCATGTGTTTTCCTGTTTAAGACCTGTTGCTTCTCTGGGGTACTATTTCAGAGTAAGGTTCTTGTTGAATTTGTCGCATCATACATAACCTTTAACCTACAGAAATAGTCAGAATGCTTCTAGTATGTTTGAGAATATTTGCTACCTGTGTCAAGGGTTTAAGAAAATTGACTTTTGGATTAATTCAAATAAAACATTAAGCTACCAAGGAGGTCAGGTTTTTAATGCATAGAAAAAGTCCAGAATTTTTTTTTTCCTTCATCCTAACTAAACATAAATACAGTTTTGCTTGAGGGTTACTTATGGCCTGTTAATACTGTATGAACTCCTGGTTTTAGCTTGAGTTTTTGTGTATTTAAGACTTAGTTAAACAACTAAATTTGGACTTTACTGGGAAGTCTTGAACTTTTATTAACTTTAATGTTACTGTAACTGTCTCTGAAGTAGAGAGATCCAAATAACTAGCAACACAACAATGGCAAACTTGTGTCTGTTTTTAATTTTTCCTTAAAATGGGCAAGTTTTCTATGCCTTGAACTCCCTTTTAAGAGAAGTTGGGAGACTCTCTGTGAATCAGATAAAAACCTTAAACTTCATAGGGAGCAGCAGGCAGTGAAAACCTCCAGGGTTTTGTATTGCCATTTTTTTCTGTCCTGCAGTTCCAGGCAGCATTCCAGAATCCCATGTTTGCCCTACTTTGAAAGTTTGATTGCTTCTCTAAATCTCTCAGATGGCCTCAGGCTGGGTGCAGCATCATTCAGGCATAGCAGAAAAGTGGCATGTTGTTAGACTTTGTCCCTCATTTTTAGATATCCTTGCTACTGGAGGGTGGGCAATTCCCCATTTTGACAATTTGGAAGTGGAGGGAGGAAGCTTGTATGCTCATTCTTTTGCCTTTGATCAAGCCAACTAGCATTTTTATTATTATTATTATGCTGTTGACAGGTGCCAATTTGCTAATTGACAGCACAGGTCATAGATTAAGAATTGCTGATTTTGGAGCTGCAGCCAGGCTGGCATCCAAAGGAACTGGTGCTGGGGAGTTTCAGGGGCAGTTGTTGGGAACGATTGCGTTTATGGCACCGGAGGTAAGAAACCACTTTTGGATGTTGCAACAGAAAGTTTGTTTGAGCTCTGCGCTAACTCATTCACTCAAACAGAGGAAACTGATGTAAATGTTTCAGATGTATTTTAAGTGTATGTGCCTGAAAGAATGGGAATGATACAAGCATGGCATAAATGACAATTCTTCTTGCTTGCCATGTTGTTCTGTTCCCATGTGACAGCTTGTTGTGAGATAGATTGTGAGTATTGCTCCTAAAGCACAAGTTACCATTGAGTCTAAAGCTAAGAACTGCAATGTGCTTTGTCTCTTGATGATTTCTTCATGATTTCTTGACTTCATGATTTCTTTACTGTAGAGAGGTATTAATATCACTTGGATTTAAGTGACATTTAACCCAAAGTGTAATTGAAATGCACTCGGTTGTGTATGCAGCAGTTAGATACTTAAAAAGCAGAGTTGGAGACTTGGGAATGCTTAAGCTGAGCTTGGACTTGTCTGTGCAGGTTCTGAGAGGTCAGCAGTACGGCAGGAGCTGCGACGTGTGGAGCGTTGGCTGCGTTGTCATAGAAATGGCTTGTGCTAAACCTCCTTGGAATGCAGAGAAACACTCCAATCACCTGGCCCTGATATTTAAGGTGAGATACTTTGCTACAAATATACTTAAGAGGACACTCGTGTTAGTCTTAATTTCACGTAGAGCAACGTCTACTTTGGAAGTTTTGAAGCAGAAACTGTTACAATTTTCTGGAGCTGTTAGTACAAAGTCACTACAGATAACACACACAATCATGTTTGCCTGCATGAAAAAAACCTGCCAACAAAGATGTGCTTCCCATTGGGAATATTGTCTGAAACCTGATACTAGCATCCAGACTTTGCTACTAGCTGTTTCCTGTTGACACGCCACATGTAAATATTGTATTTTCACCTCTTTTTGGCATGCATGTTTATTACTAAAATCCAGTCGGTACATTTGTTTTTAAAAATCTAGTTGAACAGTAGGCAGGAATGAAGAAAATATTTCCACAAAACAGAGCATAGCAATATCCCAATGTTCTAATTCAGCACAAATCACTTAACGTAAGAGATTTAAGTGTTTCTGTTCTGTATTTATGTGAATGCTGTGATGGAAGCCTAGTGTTCGCTATAAAGCTTCATCCATGTAAACTTGATGTAGAGGGTGAGGGGGGAAATGTCAAAGGAAAAAGAAATTGATTTAATGCATGACCTGCTTCCATCTGAGAGAGATTCTACCATGTGGTGGTAGCAGAAATACAGTAAATATAATAGAGAGCATTCCCAGCTTAACACACCATAATATCCCTTAGCTTAATGTATTATCTCCCTCAGTGATTGCACTTCACCTAGTGTCAAGTAGTAGACAAATGAATACCCCTAAGAGAGGCAAAGCAGTATTTACTGTGTACATTAGAATCTTGCTTAAAGAAGAAAAGTTTCAGAATATGCAAGGAGGGAGATGGAGACCCTGAAAAGCAGGAGAAAGCCTATGTTACTGAGGAAAAGAGGCATAAAGGGAACTTGAGGCTCAAAAAGTAAACTTTGTAAAAAGCATGCAATGTAACTTGCAGAGAAACTGCACTAGAGAATATCCTATATTGAGTAAAAGCTCATAGTCTAATTGAGGTCAGCTGAAAACTATCAGCTTGTTGAGGCTTCTTTTGAGTTTCTTGTTTCAGAAGTACTGACTTCAACCCCGTTTTCCCTTTGTTCAGATTGCTAGTGCAACTACTGCTCCGTCAATCCCTTCACATCTGTCTCCTGGTTTAAGAGATGTGACCCTTCGGTGTTTAGAACTTCAACCTCAGGACAGACCCCCCTCAAGGGAGCTGCTGAAACACCCCGTCTTCCGTACGACGTGGTAGCTGGCGACATAACGGCTGGTGTACTCAAGAAGATGCTACTGAATATACAATACCTGTCTTGCAGTGCACTGAAGCACAGCAGCTTGTGTTATTCTGCTGGCCTTAATGCTACATCAAGGACTTAAGGCCAGTGGAGACCCTACCTGTGTGATTGACAAATCAAGATCTTTACCTAAGCTCTGTATGCAACATTTCACAACTCGAGCAGAAAAATGTTAAACTGTGCCTTTTTTTAAACATCTGGCTCTAGGTTTCTTTAAATCTGCAAGATTATTTAGCAGATAAGTGATTTTTATTTTATTTGGAGCACTTTTTCAGCAATATTAGCAGCTGAGGGGCTCAGGTTCTATTTTAATATAACAATCACTGTTCCATTTCACATCATGTAGGCGTAAGCAGAGGGTTCTGCAATTGCAGTCAGTTTTCAGCACTGGTTAAAAGAAAGGTCTGTATCTGTCCCTTTTGATTATACAAAGTAAGTTTTCTGAGTAACAAATCAAAGCATTGATAGATACTTTTAAAACATCTTGCCTTCATTAAAGGAAGAGGAGGCTGTTAATGGTTCACTGTGCATTTACTGCTGGCCATGTAATTTCTTTTTGAAATTAAGGTTTGTATTTTCATTGTATTTTTAATGTTCAGGGAAAGGTGATCTTGTAAAATAAAATAACCTTTATTAAAAGGTGCAAATAGTGTCACTGAGCATCTCGCTGACCTGTGAGTTTTAAAAATAGATTTGTTCAAAATCTAGAATAAAACAAGAGGGCACCTTCAGGTCAGTGTTTCATGCTCTGCTAGTGCAGGTTATTTAAAAAAAAAAAAAAAGTACACAGAAAAAATAAGATGGTTATGCATAAAACAACCTAAAATCTGAATCATGTTAAATGTTGAGCCTTCTTTTTACAAAGCAGTTTCTTCTGGCAAATACATAAACAATTCCATGTCAAAGTACCTAAGCCCAGCTCCCAGTAAAGTTTATGGGAGACTTCCTCCTGTACTTCAGTGGGACCAGGTGCCACCTACGAGTATATCTCATCCTTTGTGCCACAGAATTGAGGTCATGTTCTCCACAGATAACAAATTTTACCTGCTGTTTTCCTTCTGGTGTACATCATCTATTTACTGTAGCCTTTAGTAATCATTTAACTTGAAAATGTTAAAAATATTACCATAAGAAAGGTATTTATTTTATCAAGCGATAAGTTTGGATTTGAAAAGCAAGGTAAAGTAAAATGTGAAGTTAAGCTTCACCTGTATTGCAAAATTTGTGTTTAACAGATATGTTTTTTAAAAGAAAAGCAAACAAAACATTTTAAAGATGTCAATTGCAGGTTTTTAGATTCTGATGCATGTAATTCTGAAGGAAAATGGCAGCTTTTCTTTTGCTTCTTAAGAGGGGGGATCTTTTAAAATCAAGTACTGATTGTGTTTAATCCATTTAAAAATTACTGTTCATGTTTTAACTCTTCAGAAGCCAGTTGAATTGTTGGACTGAAATAGAATTGGTTATTTTCAAAGACTCAGGACAAGCTAAATAAGCTATAGTACATTAAAAATGTACAATACCAATTGGAAAGAAAAATCTTAAAGATAAGTTTACAGGAATGATAGTGCTCATACTAACAACAAAAAGAAAAAGCAGTGTCATATAGTTGTGAATGTGCATTTCTTTTGGAAATTTTACATTCCTTTTTTTTTTTTTTTTTTTTTTTTGGAAGATTGGCAGCCTTTGAAGAGTTAAAAAGATAATACCGAAATGTGAAGTTTGGTAGCTCTAACTGTTTTGTACTTGACTTTTTTTTGACCACTTTAGAATTTTTCATTCTAATAAGATTGTTTCCAAGTCTTTATGTGCAAGCTTTAAAGGATGCACTCTTGCCAATTCATGTACTGGAAGATCAGTTGTCAGATTAATACTGTGTTTCTGGCAGAAATGTAAACTGTATAAACTGATGAACCTCAGCTAATCAGTATTACTTTGTAGATCACCATGCCTACCACATTTCAAACTCAAACTGCCTCTAGATGTCCAAATGCATTTTGTTTGGGTTTGTTTGCGTTTCCCTCAGCTTGCTGGTAATTGTGGTGTTTTTAAAATGCAGATGTGATGTAATATTCTTATTTTCTTTGGATCAAAGCTGGACTGAAAATTGTATTGTGTAATTATTTTTTGTGTTCTTAATGTTATTTGGTACTTAAGTTGTAAATAACGTCTACTGCTGTTTTATTCCAGTTTCTACTACCTCAGGTGTCCTATAGAGTTTCTTCTACCAAAGTTCACTTTCACAATGAAATTATATTTGCTATGTGACTGATTCCTAAGATTTCCAGGGCTTAAGGGCTAACTTCTATTAGCACCTTACTGTGCAAGCAAATTTTTACAGAAATCTCTGGGTTAAGAAATTTGGCTTCATTGTATCCTTTGTTATTTTAAATATATCAAGATATTTTAATTAAAAGTTTTTACCCCATTGAACCAATTTTATATAGTATAATTTGTACCTATTTTGGTGTTTTTTGTCTTTATAGTAAATAAAAGTTTTTGGAAAAAAAATGTAATGTGTTTTTGGGTCAATGTGAATTAAATATTTCTGGTATACTTTTTTTGCACACATTTCATACGCAACATTTCACATATTAAGATTTGGTTTCAGAGATGAAATGACTCAGACTGATGTGGTCTTTTTATTAGTCTGTCTAAAATAGCTAAGTGAGAGGGTTGCAACAAAGACGTAAATTTAATTGATAATGAAGATAGGAATTTCTCATGGGATAATTCTCCATGAGCCTCAATTTGCTTATGTCTTTAGATCAAACACCTTATGACAAAGTTTTGCCTTGCTACAGGAGTTTAGTTATTCACGGGGAGGCAGGTAAGTAGAGCTGGTTCAGGTCAGTTCTGAAGCCATTAAGGTCTGGCTTGCAAGTTAATGTGCTATTTTATGGTTTTCAGTGAAGTGTTTGTTGCTTCTGATTTAAGCAGCAGTTAGCAAACCTTTTTGCCGCTCAAGTAATCTGAAATGTATAGCAGTGGTAGGACTTCTTCCAGCTGCTATCTTTACTCTGATTTTTTTTGTCATTTTAAGGTTAAGAATTAAGTGTTCTGCAGACTGTTTTGTACTAAATTCCCCATTTTGAAGGAACTACCTCTTTATATGCTGTAATTCACGTGATTTTCTGCAAATGCAAATTAATATATCTGTTCAGTAGTAAAACTTAGCAGCAGTCTTCAGTTAAGCTCTAACATCCAATTTAAAAAAAAAAAAGCTGAGATACATTAACAGGAATTTGGAAAAAAATATGACAAAGGTTAAGTAGAAGATTAAATCAAGTGGGATTATTTTCATGTAATTTACTGTGGAATTCTTGCGTTTTACAATACAGCAGTAGTGGGAATGTTGCTTGGTGTCACTATAATGTCTCCTTTTTGGGAAGAAGTGAGAGTAGGAGGTTGCCTGTCCCATGCACTTGGCAGTAAGTATCAACAACACTGATTTATTTTCCAAGTACCTTGATTTGCAAAGGAAACACTTGCACAGGCTGATGGAAGGTGGTGCTTGTTTTACTATCTGCAGTGAGAATCGCTGCCTGTGGTCCCATCTGGTGGTGACAGGTTGGTCTGACAGTGTTTCAGCTTTGCCTCTTCTCATGGACTGTAACTTTGGCTTTCAGAGCTCACTGTTGTGAGGATCGTGGATTTCCTCTAAGTTTCTGAGTAGTAAACTTGGGTACAGGGTTATTCTGCCCTTGCACTCAGAATTACATACAGTATTTCTGTAACTAAGCTTTCTCTTACTTTCCAACTGGGCAGAACAGCAATGTGATAGTTGCACTTGAGTATGTATTCTCTTGAATATCCTGTGCCATAACTGCATGTTATTTTCTCATTAAAACTTTGATACTTAGCTACATAAATTTAGAATTTCAGTTGCAAACTGAGACTTTTTCCCCCCCATGTTATTACCAAAAAAGTCCAGGAGATGGCAGGAAAGCCCTTTCACTCAGCCCCGGGCACAGGCTCAGCCTTATGTACTGCACTTCCCCACTTCGCCTTAAATTTATAGTATGTTATTTTTCTTTTTTTTTTTCTCCTTGAAAAAGATGCTCCAGATCAAGTAAGTAAAGAAGTAAAGTGAATATGCAATAAATAGTGAAGCCCTTCATAAGTACTTCCAAGGCTCATACCAGAAGTAAGTCTTCCAGCATTTTTCTCCTGTCAAAAATTCAGATCCAGATATGGCAGAATAAACCTCAGCAGTGATTTAAGGTTTGCTTTCTCTATTCACGCCAACATCAAGTCTCAGACACTATCTCCTCATCCTTAATATCTTAAGCTTCTTTAAGTCAGATAAACATTGACAGGTTCTGTCTTGCTTTTCCAGTAACATTTAACTTCACTGGTAGTTCCTAACTAACACGAAGACCCGGATCAGTATCCAGCATAAGGGAGAGAAAAGAAGAAAGTTATTAGGACCTCCTTAATTGCAGAGAGCATGTTTTGCTGGGGTGGGGAATGGAAACACGTTTAGCTGTGCCCTGTCCCTATAGGATACAAGACTTCCCTGGCTATGCAGCCTGCAGGGTTATGTTTTTAGGATTTGTTTCCCTTGATTTGTTTCTCGACCCCCTCTCTTAGGAGGAGGGTGTTGTATGCATTTCATACCTAAGATGTGTCTGTGTTTAGTATTTTTCCTGGATAATGGATTATCTTCTGCATTTGCATTCTTTCAGGGAGCTGAATATGGACTTTTGGCCAAGGAGAGCTCTATAAATAACTAGGTATGTATAGAGGGTGTATACGAAGGAGGTGGCTAGGACTAATGCCACTGCTCTCAGGTTGTTTCCTCAGGTAATTCTGTCCCATCCTGTGGTGGGGAGCATATGCCTGAGGTTGGTATGGTGGCAGGAGGCTCCTCACTTTTAAAAACATGTTGAAGTGTGTTAATTCATTGCTGCTTTGAGGAAGAGCAAATCCGCTGCAGTCAGTATTTGCTGGAGCAGCTGTGGGAGGGTAATTCTCCCCTATGCCCCTTGCAAGGCTGCTCTAGGGCTGCCTCCTACGTTGGAGTGCAATTCCCAGTCCCTACTTTGTGTCCCTTCTCTTTGTGTCATGTTCTGTCCGCACGAACCAGGGCTCTGTGCCGCGGGCTGCGCGGGAAGCAGGGCCCTGGGAGCTGCCATGGGGCTCGACTCTCCTCAGCAGGTTCCCGCCTCGGGAGCCAGGTGGGGCTTCGGTGGAGCCAAACGGCCGCTCGCGGCAGCACCGAGCGGCTGCCCGGCCCGAGCCGGGGGCCCCGCGGCCGCCGCGAGTGCGCGGCCCGGGCCCGGCGGCCTCCAGCCCCCGCGGCCGCGCCCCGCAGGAAGCGGCTGCCGCCATCTTGCGGCGCGGGGGCACAGCGGGCTCCGCGGCGCGGGCGGCCGCCACCGCGCCATGTTGCGCGCCCTGCGGCGCCGCTGGGACCGCTACAAGTACCGCTTCGTGCCCTGGCTCGCGCTCAACCTCCGCCGCGAGCGCAGGTGGGCGCGCGGCCGCGGCGGCGCCATGCGCCCTGCCAACGGGCGCCCCGCTCGCGCCTAGCCGCTTTCGAACGTGTTTCGGTCTCCTGGGCGTGGAAATCGGCTGATTTAAAATAGCGCCTGGTGTTAAAAGCAACGCTGGAAGTAGCCACGTGCATTTGTTTTTTCTTTTTCCTAGCAGAATGATACATTTCTTCTCAAAGATAAAAAATAGTCCTTTTTGAAAATTTTAAGTGGGTAGAGCTTCGTTATGTGTAGCATAAATTAAAATGTCTCCACTTGATGCAAAAACTCTTCTCCCTAAAAATATAGTAAACGTTTGATTAAAACCTGCTGAGATCTCGTGGTGTTTCACGAGCTGATCTGTTGCTGTAGACACGTGAGGTGGTGGTTCCATAGCTGGAAAGGTTCAAGAGCATCTTCTCTAGGCTTAAACAAGTTCTGACTCGTTTAAAACTAATCCAAAGATAACTACTTCCTTCTGCAAAATATCTTTCTGATACTTCTTTTAGGAAAAATATAATCTTTTGTTTGTTTTTTTACAGGACCCTCCGGTATGTTCCCAAAAACTCCCAAGACAAAATTATCCCGGATGGAGATGTCTTTCTGACCCTGCTGAAAGTCTTTGAAGCTCTGTTCATAAATGACTTGAGTAAACAAGCCCAAGTGCTGGCCCTATGTCCTGAAATTAGACGTAAATACCTGGAGCCGCCGTCTCCCGAGCGGACACAACCCGGCATCGACGCACGGAGCGGCCGGAGCCAGCGCGTGCGCAGCCCGGAGGAGGTTCTTTTCGACACCCTTGGGTTCAGCATCACTCGAGACCGAAGCTCGCTGCTTTCTGCCGGAACCGGAGTCTTCGTTTCCAAAGGTTTTGTGCCAAAGGGGACCGTTGTGTCCATGTATCCCGGTAATGAAATAGTGTTTCTCGGTAATGAAATAGTGTTATCATTTCTGAGTATGTTAGAGGTGTTTTCTGACCAATCGTAGTTCCAGAGTTGTGCACCAGCTTTTATTTTACAGATTTTATTTCTGTCGTTCTTTAACAATATCACAATTAAAGAGCCCTGGCACAGGCTGCCCAGGGAGGTTGGGGAGTCTCCTTCACTGGAGGTCTTCCCAACCCGCCTGGATGCCACCCTGTGCCACATGCTCTGGGTGTCCCTGCTCGAGCAGGGGGTTGGTTGGACTAGATGGTCCCTAGAGGTCCCTGCCAACCTTGAACATTCTGTGATTCTGTGAAGTTACGAAGATATTTCTGTGTATAAACTGGCTAAGGTTGTTTTTAAAATAAGGAAAGTTGTGTTCTGGTAGGGAGGAGGTTGTTTTATTTTTCAAAAACATTTGAATACTCAGTGTGTGTTTTTCAGCTGCCTGAAAACTAATCAAGATTCCTTGAGTGAGCATACAGGAGTAATTTCACAGAGATGAAGAGAAGAGTTTAAATTGAGGGGACTTATGGAGAAATGTTTGCAAAACTTTTATTTTTTTTTTTTTCAGAGCACAGAAACACAGACTAGAGAGTGAAAGTAAAACCCTTTTTCAGTGAAGCTCTTCTCCATAAAGTGTGTTTGGCACATCAGCACTTCTCTGTTCCGTCTTCATATTTCTTGGAATGATATTTGCTTGTATTGCTTGAGCAGATTCGTGATTCTGTCAGTGTGGCTGAGCTAGTTTGGCTCTGCTGAAATTCTTTGGGTTTGTTTCTGTTTCATTTTGTCAACAGCATCGCCCTCCATATGTGGTCCCTGTAGCTCGTGCCAGTGGGACAGGCTTAGGACCAGTCTGAGAACCTGAGTATCAGGCTATTAGCTTTGACTTGTAAACTGGGCAAATACCAGCTAAGAACTTTAAAAATGTAACTCTTCAGGCCTCTTCAGATAAAAGTTGAAGGTGGACGTTGGCTCATTGGGAGCGTAGGCAGGAAATGCAGGTTTTCTGCCGAGGGTTGCTGAGTGGAGGAGCTAGACTGCAACGTGATGAGAACTTGCAAGGCAGCCTTGCAGCTGTTCAGTCTGCGCTTTGGACCCAGGTCAGGCCGGGTTAAATCCCTTCCAGATGTTTGAGGTATGTCCTGCTGCCTGGTCTGCTCCTCACTTGGGCGTTTCCAAGCTCTTGTATCAGTTGAAATTGCTCATTTGGAGGAGCAGGGAAGCATAGGGGATCTTTGCTGTCTGTGTGCACTTTGCAGAGCGCTTGCTCACACACTGCTAATAGGGAAGAAGAAACTTCTTCTGACCCTCTGTTTCCTTTGGATAAAGTGATTTTGATGAGTTCATTTATTCTCTTCTGAAATCATCTTATCTGTCTTGCGACAGGTACAATGTACAGAAAACATGAGCCCATCTTCTTCCAGTCCCTTGGCAATCCCTTTATTTTTAGGTGCATAGATGGTGTTCTTATTGATGGGAACGACAAAGGGCTATCCAGAGCAGTGTACAGGTGAGTGCTCACAGTTCCAGAGGGCCGTGCAGGGTGAGGCCGTTGCTGTGGCCCCTGTTTCCATTGCCGCGGGTCGCTGCAGGTCCTGCAGCCACAGGGCTGTTACTGCAACCTCTATTTCCATTGCTGCGGGTCGCTGCAGGTCCTGCAGCCGCAGGGCCGTTGCTGTGGCCCCTGTTTCCATTGCCGCGGGTCGCTGCAGGTCCTGCAGCC